CAAACTGGTAATAGGACCACCAGTTGTCAGTAGTTCTGATTGTTCTTGAAACAAATAAATAATGCTTTTCAATGTACTTTTGTACATGGCATATTTATGTGCTACAAAACCGTACATCGTATATCATAACACTTTTTTTCGGAAAACAAAATCTCTTTTTCCTTTATATTTTTTTATCAAATCTTTTCAAGAAGACTAATTGACTTGATATTTTTCCACATGTGAGAGAAGTGCGCCGCGCTCATTAATAAACCGCTCATCGGCGAACTTTTTAAAGGGCGAAAGAGCGGAAAAAAATCGCATTGAAAAAAAATAACTTCATTCCGCAAAGCACTTAAGAGATCAAATATCATGTGGGCTGTTTCCAAACAAAAAATACAGGCGACGAGCCACGAAGCCGAGATTTTTCATTGCGCGTAAAACAACTTGGTTGAGGACCTATTTGTCAGTGGAAATTGAAGCAAATGGTAAAGGAAACATTTGATTTGGAATTCGAAGGAGTTGAATAATACTTTACTACTATTTGTTAATAATATTTAAAACTATTAATGGCTTAAAAAATTATTTGGCAAAAACAACTGATCTTGTTTTTGTGCACAGCTTACTAGATTGTTTACCAAATTTCGCCGCCTATTAGATTTCCACATCATTTTAATAAAATTTTATTACTGGTTAGTAATCTTTAAAATAACCAATTACATTAGAAACTTTTAAAATTAATAATGACATAAAAAATTATTTGACAAAAACAACTGATCTTCTTTTTCAAGCTCTGCTTACTAGATTTTTTACCAAATTCCGCCGCTTATTGGATTTCCATATCATTTTAATAATACTTTATCACTAATTAGTAATCTTTAAAATTATTGTTGGCATTAGTGATCTTTAAAATTATTAATGACATAAAAAAATATTTGCTCAGAACAACTGAACTTATTTAAGTTCTGCTCACTAGATATTTTATCAAAAGTCGCCACTCATTAGATTCTCACAGGAGTCATGCCAAATTAAAATAATGCATTATTTTACTAATAAATAGTTTATTTATATATATTTTCCGGTTAATAACCAGTCCAAATAAAATCTGAATTGATATAATTTTTTTACTAAAGCATTTGGTTTAGATTTAGAAATTTGAAGAATAAAGTTATATTTATAATTATGTATTATCTTTAGAACCTGATTGATTCTAATTTTGTCACCAGATGCTTCCGAGTTATATTAAAAGTTGCATACAATTATGTGTACTGTCTTCATATATATATATAACAATTATTTACATTTTGTGCCGTATTTTTCTCATAAATAATTAATTAACATAATAACTATGAAAATTTCCTTTTAACGGATTATTGCTGTAAATAGTGTTATAAAATTATAATATGGACTCCCACGACTGTTTGAAACCGTCGCCGTCTTCTTGCGGAAACAATAGTTCATTTAGTTCTTCATATCAGAGATAGTCAGAACTTTATATTGAAAAATATAATAATTAATAGAATAATTAATATTTGTATAAGGATATGTTTACTCTCAATTAATACATTGTGGCAACTTGTATATCTGCTGATGGTTAATTATCGCTCAGTAACCTCTTCTTGTTCTAAAGTAATTTTTTCTATTATGTAGGGTCATAATTTATTGGACCTTTAAATTTCCTATTTGACTTTAAGTAATTATACTGTTTGAACCAAATAAACTACATCACAACACAAACAACTATCTGACTATGTTCAGTAAAATTCTCATAAAATTCCTAATAATAAAAATGTGTTTTTATACTATTTTTCCAAAATTTGTCATTTGTCTATTTTTACTCCATTGGACAGGCAGAGGGCAAACAGGTCCAATGAATTTTTGTTAATTTTGAAGGAATTTGAGGAAATTGTAGTTGCTTTATTTAACCAATGCAAAATATAAATTTTATAGGTACATTTTTTACAAAGATAACACTGTATATAACCTTGATCTAGTATTTCGTCAGAATTATTTATCAGCGGAGTTGGAATAACTATTAATGTAATTTATTTTTTGTAAAATTGCTTTTTTAACTTAATTTACTAGTTTTTTTATTGTTCACACCTTTGCCAGGGTAGATGTGCAGTTGGTCATTTTTACCCCACCCATATGTAAACTTTTATAGAGGTTATATAAAATAAACTGTTGAATCTAACTTAAAAATTATAATACACCTTATAAAACAATTAAATAACACATACTCAAAAATTATATTAAGGTCTCGTAAACTAAACAACAGTGCTCACGACCAAAAGAAACTAACAACGAAAGAAACTACTTTTTTATGAATTTTTATTAACTGCCATTTATCTCCTGATAGTGACGTCGTAAGAATCAAGGTGATGGCTGGATATACATCTTTTGCCCTCTACTTTCAAATATTGTCGTTAAAATATCCTAACTTTACTTGTTTTTGAGATACTGGTGGTGCACCTTTTTATCTGCGTCTCTTTAAGCCCCGCCCTATTTTTATGTATTTTTTTGTATTTTTTTCCCCAGCCGCAGCTTGGCCACAACTGTCTCATTCATCAGATGTAAAAAGTGCATGTAGTTCTCTGTGTCACATTGAAACGCTATAAAGTGCAATGCGTGTGGGTACAGCTTACATTGAATGATGTAACTGGTACATGCATATATTTATTATGCTTATTGTTAGCGTAATAATAATCTTCTTATATCAAATTAGACATCGCTATATGCGAGGGGCATCATTGCATAATTTTACATCGCTCGTAAAACAATAGTTTTAATTACTACAAACTAATCGCAACTTAGGGTTATTGTACAGAAAACATGACTGGGATAAAGCTGTGATAATTGACAATGGAAATCTTGCGTGCCGTTTTATTGCTTTCAATTTATCTTTTGGTAGATTGGTACAGGTGAATTGTAAATGAAACATGATATCGACAACTGCATATTTTTAATTTTATCTCGAACTTTGTAAACCAAAATTGATATTTTGTAGCTTTACTAATATTAATTGGTTAGAGTTGTGGGACTGCAATCAGAAGATCGGTTTCCACTAGGAAATGTAGATAATAATATGTATGCAATAGCCTCTACCCAGTTTTACTGGTTCAATAAAATTCATCAGTATTACAGAAATTTTGATAATATTTTTAACAACTGTTCTGGGTTTCCATCACATAGGAATAGGACATCTGTTCTGGGTTTCCATCTATAAAAAACGAGACAATGAGTTGTCTAAGGAGTTTCCACGATGCCTCATAGGACTCGTTAATTTTTCATTCGTGTTTAAAATATAATAATGATAAAGAATGATATTTTTAGATCAGATTCGGTAGATTCGGACAGGTTAACTAAAATCCGATAGAAGTATCAAATCGTATATTGTGAACCCAAATGCATATTTTCCAGTTTTACTAATTTTATTAAGATTATCTCATTGGCATATATTTATCTTCCAACTCCTGTTGCTTTGTATCAATGGACATTTTTTTAATAAAAGTTTTTTTTTTTGAGAATGTGTATTTGTCTTCGATTCATTGTTCTTTTTGAATTTAGTATCATGTTCTATGCAAAGAAAGCAGTTAATAAATGAGGCATATATCAATTACTTCAGTTGCAAATGAACTGAGAAGAATCATCATTAGTTACCATCAACAATCAGTAAATTCTATAACAAGTTGCCAATATCTAGAATTAATAGAGTTAATCATCAAAGTAAGATGTTTAAATTAAAAAATTGTGTTAAAAAAATTTAATGGTTGACTACAACCTCTACCAAAACGACTTGACCGATCGTCAATTTACATTGAAATATACTTTCAAATCGAATTACGATTTTCTGACTTGATGCCAAACTTGTATAAAAAATATGTCTTAAACTGTCAATTAATTCTGTAGGAACAGTCTAAAACTTTTTTACTCAGAAATTATCAGCACGATTTAATAACTTCCAAGCACTTTTTGATTTTTGTTTTTGGTTCAGATTTTCGCATTTATTATTATTAATGTATAAAACAGTAACTGAATTTGGTTACACAAAAAAAATATTAATCAATCACAACAATAATTAATATCACGTCATGAAATTTTTCTCATTAAAATATATAACCGATTTTTTTAAACGAATTATCTCTTCACTCGTCAGGTTCCTCATTAGTGAATAATTAATTATATCAATTGTTACTGTAAACCATACATAACATGACACTACACACTTAATGATGGCATTGATTAATCATAAATAATTAATAATGCATATCTGGTACATTTTTATTAGTTTTCAATTTCAATTCATAATTAATGTTTCCGCTTTTAAATCGAGCATATAAATGGTCTCATTTGATGATAATTGGATTTGGATTGGATAAGAGGTGTAATTGTAATAATTATAGAACATTTTAATAATTCTTTTGTGTGAATTATTTTTTGAAAACGAGTATATATATATATATATATATATATATATATATATATATATATATATATATATAATTGGAACTCTTCCTGAAGGTAAGGTCCCTGGTGTGATAGAACCACATTTTACTCACGAAGTGCTCCTTTATTCAATTGTTTATAGTTTTTTACATTCTACTCTTAAATGGTAATTCTTTTTTTTGTATTGTAATAATTTCGTTACATTCCCAACAACTATAGTAACATACATACTTCTTCATTATAGTCTTTTCTATCCTTCTAATGATTTCTTGCAGAAGCCACTTCTTGATTATTATAGGTTCAGTTTTATATTCTTCCACAATCATACTTCTACTATTTGCAGTACTTTATCATTTGTTATTGCACTACAATTCAAAACTGTCTTTGTTGGTTTATCTAAAAATCCATCCTTGTTGTCCACAAAGTTATATTCCAAATATTTGGAGAGTTTCCACAAATCGAGACAAATAAGTCGGTGCTTTTGCACGATCAGTCTTAGGACAGAATAGTTGTTATTATTACTATTATGATTATTGATCTGTTCATAAATTAATAATTTCTTTTCTAATTTTCAGCTCAAATAGAGATCATACCATGCAAGGTGTGCGGCGACAAATCATCAGGTGTGCACTACGGAGTGATCACGTGTGAAGGTTGCAAAGGCTTCTTCAGGCGATCACAAAGTTCGGTAGTCAATTACCAGTGTCCACGAAATAAGCAATGTGTGGTCGATAGGGTCAATAGAAATCGCTGCCAATACTGTCGTCTGCAGAAATGTCTCAAACTAGGAATGAGCCGAGATGGTAAGTCCTATGATAATGAATTAAGTAATTGACTAAGTTTGAGTGGCAACTTGGAAGATCTTTCTGGTACAATGTAAATTATTGAGTTGGTCAATAAGAATTAAGATTTAGCAACTTTGGAGGCGTCTCATCATGTGAGCTTTAAAGGGGGGAGGGGTGGTTTGACAAAAAATTAATATCACGTGGGGGAGGAGAGGATTGAGTAAGATATTAGGTGCATTTATTTTTTACCTCAATTTAAGAAAAAATTGTGAGATTAAAAGTAAATCTAGAATTTTACGACTTTTTCTAGGTATTAAAAATACACGTGATGTTGTCCAGGGGAGAGGGGTAATTTCAAATATCACCATGTATTACCAAAGGGGAAGGGGGAGTCTAAAAATCCTTAAAAGTTGTTCTCGTAATTAATGAACGCCCCCTTTTCAAATTGTGAAAATAGAATTTTCAATTTATATATGCCTATTATTTCCAATTTTGGTGACTTGATTCAGTCAACATAGATCATGTTGTTAACTACTTTCTCCTGAAAATGTCGACGTTTTATGACCACAATGTATAGGGTTTTTTCTGGCTAAAATTATATTTATACATGCTTTCGTTAATATTAGTTGTAAACAATTATTTATAGACTGTAAAACCAAATTATCTGTTGCCAATTGCTAATTTGATAGAAACTGATTGATTTATAAAACATTTACCAAAAATCTTGTTGGTGGCAGAGAGTAAGTTATTACTCGAAAAGATCATAATTTGATCTACCAGACTTCATCATGTTATTGACAATTTTCTTCAGAAATTTTTATTTTTTCAATATTGTTATAATATTATTATTAAATAAGTTTAAGTGGCAACTTGGAAAATCTTTCTGTTATATGTAAATAATTGAGTTGATCAATAAGAATTGAAATTTAGCAACTTTTCAAATTGTGAAAATATAATTTTGAATTTATATATAGCCATTTTTTTCCAATTTTGGTGACTCGAATCAGTCATTCAACAATTTCAACATTGATCATGTTGTTGACTATTTTCTCCAAAAATGTCGTCGTTCAATGACCAGAATGAATGTTTTTTTTTCTGGATGAAATTATATTTATAAATGCCTTAATTAATACTAGTTGTAAACAATTTATCATAGTTAGGAAAATCTAATTATCTGTTGCCAATTGCTAATTTGATAGAAACTGATTAATTTACAAAGAGTAAGTTATTACTCGAAAAATTATTGGTTCGATCTACCAGACTTTATCATGTTACTGACAATTTTCTTCAGAAATGTTCGTCTTCCTATAATAAGAATCTGTCTGGTTTTGCAATGGATAAAATTATATTTATTATTGGCTTTGACTAATATTGTAAACATGTATTTGTGGAAGCATGACATGCTGAAAATTGGTCATCTAATTTTAAATTTTTATGAATTTCGCGCTACACTTTCTATTCTAACTCATAACTCGCCAAGTCTTCATCAAAGGTAGTTATTTTGAGTATGTGTCGTTAAAAATAACGGTGTGAATTTAACAACATTTTTTGATCGTCGTTTCTTAAAATCCAAAGAATTCTATCTTCGAGATTTATTGCACTGGTCGCGCAATCATCCTGTTGGCGTTTATTGTTACTAAAACTCAAAAAATAAATGTCAATGATATGTTGTAAGAATGTTTTCGTTAGGTACATTTACGTTTGATGAGGTCATTGACTCCAAGATTTGATCACCGATAGTGAACTACGAGAAATACGTATCAATGTAGCGAGATTTTACAAACCATCCGTCTCGGTTGTATTTTCTAGTAATTCTTGAGTAAACTTTTGAAACGTGGTAAAAATGCAAGACGCCGGTTCTCATCTTAGGAGCTGCATTTATCGGTTGCAGGTTTATGTAAAAGTTAAGGCAGGGCACCTTGACATAATATAAAATACATAAATAATTAAACGCAAAATATTCTGAAGTTAATGGATGCATTTTAATATATCCATAATCGATATATTTACATGCGTGTACAAATAGACACATGTTATTCATGTCGAACGTAACATATTTTGAAAGTGCGACCTTGCAGAATTAAGACCCGTATCTGCACTAATATTGTAATCTGTATCAAAACCAGTTAGTAAAGCACATATAATAGTAAAAAATAGTGCAAAAACACATTTTGTTTTTGGGGTAATAATCCTACCAATTTAGAAGGAATATAAAAATGGTTTACTCTATACACCAGCTAGGTATCGATCAAATTCCACAATTCAATAATATTAATGCTAATTAAATTATAAATCAATCAGATTCAATAAAATTAGTAATTGGCAACAGATAATTTGATTTTACCATCGTTATTAATTGATACTTACATAGACAACGTAAAAGCTCTGCATAAGTTGAAGGTCTCAACTCACAAGGAGAACCTCAGGTTTACTCTTCTGGGATTTTGATGAAACTTTGCATGGTGATAAAGTTGATAGTCAAACCGTACACCTTAAAATATTATAGACCTATGTGTGCTGGATTGATTATAAAAACTAGTGGGGCGCATGGCATCGTGCCTTAAGGCAAATTGCTAGAACTTCCCGTTCTAAAAATGATTTTTTTTAAAAAGATTAACATTTTTGAAAAAAAAATTACTCTGAAAAAATTAGATTTTTGAAAAACTATAAATTTTTGACAAAAACTTACTTTTTTTAAAAAAAAAGACTTTTCGAAGAAAAATTTATTTTGAAATATTTTGGAAATTCTGAACTTTTTTTCAAAGCAATCGTACTGCTCTAACTGCATAGAGACGAAATATAGAAGCGCGTAAGCGCCGCGTCGCCGTCTAACGGATAAACACTGGTAGGGAACCCATAGGAATGTAAACAAAATTTATACTTATTGTTAAAATCTCTATAAAATATCTGATAATTTGATGTGCATATGTCTAATGATCATTTTTGACCGCCAAATGCCATTTTTTTCACTTTTTTTACTAAATCTCCGAAACCGCTAGACCTACCTTCATGAAAATTTGATCAGTTCTTCATCTTGTTAATACAAGTAAAATGTTTTTGAATTATTCAAATCAGACGCTCCGTTCTCTTAAAAACTGAGTTACTGTTTTTGGCACTTTTTGCCCCATATCTTCGGAACGGCTAGACCCGCCTTTGCCAAAAACTGATCCGCACGTCTTCTTATCAATACGAATCGAATGTTTTTTGAATTATTCAAATCGCTTCATCCGTGTTCCCAAAAATCGTGGACAAAAATTTGTATCCGAACACACACACACACACACACATACATCCATTTTTTCTAAGGTATGCCAAAATGTTCAGAAGGTTTTGAAACGTGAAGATATTCAAAAATTTTCATTTTCGATTTGTTTGCGATTACTATAACTTGCCCTATGGGAAGTAAATTAATTAAAGTTGCTAGGATATTTTTTATAATTTTCATTTACATTATTTTAGCAATCAGAAAAACAATAATAATTTACTTTTTCTTTTAATTGCATATCCTGTAACTTTGTTTTTGTACCTATATCCATAGTGATTCAGTTGAACATTACTAGTTGGTCACAATAGGATGATTTTAATAAATTGATTATAAATGTGATACATAGGAAATTATTTAATAAATATTTTTTGCCAGAAATTAGAAATGTAAAATTAAACTTTCAAATTTGATATCCTATTTTTGCATTCAACTACCAATTGATCACAACATTCTCCAAAACAATTTGTACTATTTACGTCTAAAAATTTTATATTACTATTTTCGAATCACTAGTTGTCAACTGTATATGACGTTTTCAGAATTCAGTTTTACTTACTTATTGAATAAAAAATTAATGTTCTCATCGGAAAATGTGATTTACGACACGTTTGACCCAGTCTGTGTATTACGCAAGCAATAAAGTGTGGTCAACTGCAACTTGGTTTTTAATGAGCTTGTGTACTTTACAGGAAAATATCTTAAGAATATAAGAAAAGTAATAGGTGTCACTCAAAAAATAATTGCTTTTGCTGTGGTAAAAAATAGTTGTTTTTGTTTACAAAGTAGGGGACCAGGAAGATTTAATTTGTTTGTTACACTCTTTGATGCCTCATAAAAATCGGAAAATGATCTATATTATCTAAGCTAATTTAATATCGACTTGAAACATTTTATAATTTGTAATAACACAAAAAAACAAATAGAACTCTGCCAAGCACGTAATTTTTGTTTCCGTGGCAATCCCATGACGATGTGCGTCAACGTCCAGAGCAAGAGGCTAATAAACTTAAAAAAAAATGCCTTGAGGTAATATTGATTTATTTTCACTAAACAAAATGGACTGAATTATTTAAATCAAATTTTAAGATTTTTTTGCAAATCCAAACTGACTGTGTCATCTGACTTTAAAGTTAAAAAATAAATTTCTCAAAAGTATATATTCTTATGTAGGATCTGACAAAGTTAGCAAACTTATAAGAACCGATAAATTAAGAACTTTTAACAAAAATCTTGTTAATATTTTTTTACATGTAGAACTGAGTAGTTCTAATTTTGTTAGAGCTCATTATATCTGACGAGGTGCTATTGAACTTTGTTAACAAACTGATAATCAATGATCATATCAATGATTCAATGGATTGTGAATTTTGATCATAGTAAAAGCGTTTACTAAAATATTTAATGATATTTTTTGGTAATATACGTTATTTTATTATTTTTCTGAAAAGCCAATTTTTTTCAATCAGTAAAAACCACAACTACTGTTGGCCAATAGGACTAAAACCATGTTACAGAAGAACGGACACTAATCATTCTTTGAATATGTTTTTATGTATGATTAAGATAAGTGCTATGCATTTGAATCGCATTAATTAAAAACTAATAAAAATATAGGAATATATCTGCCAACTCCACGTTCAAATGGTTAAGCCAATTTTTGCAGTATGATCAATTTGGTAAAAGATTTAATGTATATAACGCCTGATCGCACAGCAAATTTATAGCTTTTCACAGTTCGTTACTACTAACTCAT